AGGGATATACGATCTCCCTAGGTAACACAATCTCTATACGCAGTTTTGTGTTTTGCGGATTTTTGCGCACCAATCTTCGCACGACGACGAACATCTTTTTGGGAATCGGGGATTTTGTTTTTCTTGTTCTTCCGCTGCGCATATGATGTCGCCCCCTCAATGATTTCCCAACAAATACTCTCCTCAATATTCTATCGCTAGAAGGAGGGCCTTGAAAGCTGTAAGAATGTCCATCTACTAGCTCTCTCAATGAGTGCTCTAGTGAAGAAGCTCTACCCCAATCTATAGTACATTTACACAAGGTTGATAGTTGCCCTCATTTCCTTAGATGAATTTGTCCACCTCTACTCAAATATCGGGGTGCTACTAGTGCTTGTTTAACAACTCAGGACTCTTACCATTAGGGACAAACGTGGGGCACTTAGTTGCTCCCATCGAAGCATTCCTGAATCTCACACATCAAGCGTAGGCGCTCACATGGATGATACAGATGATTGCCCCACTTCTGCCCTAATTGGCCCAATAGACCACGTCATCATCACAATCGCAGCCAATGTCTCAACCACCATTAGCACTTACACCCGTCAGGGCTCCCCGACTAAGCCAACATCAGTAGCCTAAGACTAACCCTGACCCTTTGAATTATCAGTAGAAGGAACACCTTGCCCCCCGATGGTGAAATTTAGTGTGCTATTGCACCAAAGCCCGACCTTACTTGAATCGAAGACCCAATCAAAATATTCAATGGATGACTCCTCGAGAGTCCAACTAAAACAGATAGATCAGCGCCTAAACAAGATGCACTAGGAGTTCTAGTGGTTTTGAAGGGAAGAGGCGGATGACCCCACCTTGGGCCACTCCTCATTTTATCTAGAGCATCGAAAATGAGTTAATCCCAATAATTTTTATCTTCCATCACTAGAAGCCTTCGATGGTAGCTTTGACCTAGTAGAGCACATCATTTCTTTTCGAGCTTAAATGTCTTTGTATGATACCCCAAATGCTTTGATGTGTCATGCGTCTCCAACAATACTAAGTGGCTTGACACAGGAATGGTATAGTCATTTGAAGCTACTTTTGGTCTTTTTCTTTATCTAGCTCACAAAGAAATTTGAGCTTCACTTTCTTATAAACATGTGTCCGAGGCCCTCAGCAGTAATGCTGCTTAAGTTGAGACAAAGGGAGGATGAAACCCTCTCTGACTTTGTCATGCGATTCACCGGTGAAATTCAAGGCGTGCAAGAAGCCCATCCTCCTTGGTGACACAAGCTTTTATGATAGGCTTCAGATCCACGTACTTCTTCTAGTCATTAGTAGAGAAGCCACTGATGACAATCCCCGAGATTCTTCAAAGGGCCAACTAAAATATAGCTGCGAAAGCAATGATCTCCAACAAGTGTGAATAAACACACAAAATGTCACATCAAGAACTATCTCAGACATCAACTTCGGACTCATCGTAGCGAAGGAAGTATGGTTGACTCGAGGTTACTCATCCAAGGTCTGAGTCAACTCCTCTCAACATGACAAGGATTGAGATATTCTTACAAATAAAGGATAAGAGACTCTTGAAGGACCCATTACCGATAAGAACTCCTTTGGAAAGAAGAGATAAATTAAAGTATTATTGCTTCCATGATTATTATGATCATAACATGAAGGAGTATCATGATTTGAAGGAGCAAATCGAAGAATTCATTCATCGGGGGCACCTTGGGAGGTTCATCTGAAAACCCTAGGAACCTTTGCCTCACCCACAAGGTCCGGTGAAAAGACAAATTAACGTGATCATCGACGGACCCACCTCGGGAGGGGATAGCTCCTTGAGGTGCAAAACTTATGCCCGAGACTAAAAAAAAGTGCAAAAATAACTTTCAAGGAAGAAGAGACAGAGTACCTCGAACCAAACTACGATAATGCTCTAGTGGTCTCTTTGAGGATGGTCAACACTAGGGTGAAAATGATCATGATCGTAGTTTTGCCAATATTTTATTTTGATGGCTTTTAAAAACTTAGACTATTAGCTAATGATCTCTTCCCTACGGTGTCTTGACTAACAAGATTAATAGGCAACTCCATCTACCTACTTAAGACTATGAGCTTACATATCACATTTGATGATGAATCCTGCTCCAAGATGATAATGGTCAAGTTCACAGTGATGGATATCCCTTCGGCCTATAACATAATCATTGGCTAACTCACTCTCAACTGATTGAAGGTCATGGTATCCACCTATCACATGGTGATGAAGTTTCCGATAAGAATTTATGTTTTGGGGTGTTGAATATAGAATAAATTGATAACATAAAGAGTATTCAATATAGTATATACTGAAGGGCACCATGGCATATACCAATTTGAACTATATGTTTTAGGATGTTGAAGTAGGAGATGCATAAGAATATTATGTTATGCTTACTTCAATTGCTTGCATAAGGACTATACAATATAGAAGATATGCAAGGGTGTTAAAGAATGCTGACTTGAATTGTCGATATGTCAGATATTACAAGAAGATCAATATAACATTATTACTTAAGCCAACTTACATACTTAGATTACTTTAGGATCAAAGCATGTCGAATTCAGCTTTCTATATAGGGAATCTTATATGTAAAAGATGCACGAGATTGATGGCCGATGCACGTAAAACAAAAGTCTTATCGTGTGATACTTCTCCTTCATAGCGGGCCGGCCCATAGCAGAAGTGGAAACTCACTCAGAAGTCTAAAACCGGTTTCGGATCCAATTTAAACAGCATCCGACCCTTTTTGTGCTTCCCTTCTATTACGATCTCCTCGATGGATAAACCCCTCGAATCGCCGACCCACCCTCGTCTTTGCAGAGCGGAGGGGATAAGCCGGCGATGGCTTCTCATTATCCGATTTCGCCCGCTGCCTCCCGCTTCTCGAGTCCCTTTCCTCTTTTCGTTCCTTCGTTCCGCTCGCTAAGAACCATTCTCTGGTGCCAACGATTTAAAAATCGCCTCTCTGTTTCCGTTCCGCTCGAGAACGCCCGTTTCAGAGTTCGGAGCTTGGAATCGAACACCTCTCTTGGCGGTGATGGTGAAGCAGCGGCTGAGGAATCAGCAGTGACGCAAGAGGATCTGGAGTCACAGCGGCTTTTCGAGGTGTGGTTCTGTTTTGATTATTATAGTTTTCGGTTGGATAAAAGTGTGATCTTTAGTTTCTTTTCAGTGTCTTCAGTAGTGTAGGAAGTTTCTCTGGCGCTAAGATATTAATTTATGTGGTTTATTTTATTTGGCTAAGATGCGAAAGTCTCATGATCAGTCTATGGTTTATTTTTGCATTTTCTTTCGGGTCTGAATGTGAACGGTGAAATGGTAAGTTCGATTCTTACCAACCTGTGAGATTCACTTTTACCGACTGGCAGCATTTTTGTGACAATGATATGTCCTCATGCTTGGAACATTCTGAATGGGTTTTCAGAAGTTGAAGGGTTTGGAGCAGCATCGTATTGATAAATTGGAAAAGTTTGAGAATAAAGCAAATCTGCAATTGGAGAGGCAGCTTGTCATGGCTTCCTGCTGGAGTAGAGCATTGCTGACTTTTCAGGGAAAATTGAAGGGAACTGAATGGGATCCAGAGAACTCTCATAGAATTGATTTTAGTGAATTCTGGAATCTACTCAATTCGAACAATGTCCAGTTCATGGAGTACTCAAATTTTGGCCAGACCATCTCCGGTATGTGATCCATCTCTTTTCTTTGTTCCAAGCATTTTCATTTGTTTTTGAAGTTGCTAGTCTTGTTCTCTGGTTCATTGTTCCAAGTATTTACTGGAATAACAGTAGCTTCATCAACACAAGTATTTTGTTCTCTTTCTTCATTGTCATAGTGCTAATTATTGGAAGTTATGGTCAATTGAAAATCATATATTTTTTGGTTTCTTTTAAGGTATATATGGTGAACTGATACTCAACCACTTTTGCATGATATACGTTGCACATTGATGATTACAAAATCATTAAGACAACTCTACCATTCCCTGGTCGGATTGATACATACTGGTCGGTACTGGTGTGCCAACACACTATACTTTGGCATATACTAGTGATTTGTAGGAAGAGGAAGGAAGAAGAGAAAGCAATGGAGGAAGAGGAAGAAGTAGGAAGAAGAGGAAGCGGTGAAGGAGGAGGGAGGAGGGAGGAGGGAGGAGGGAGGAGGAACCCTACCCATGGCCGACAGCATGCAGTGAGCAACAGGAGGTAGCAGCAGCAAACGACAGCGGCAGGGAGGTATGCTGCACTCCCTGCACATGGAGAAGAGCACTTGCGTTCGCGAACCCTAGTTGTAGGGAAAACCATTTTTTTTACAATTTTAATGGGTTGGACCAGATCCCCAACATGGAGGCGGTCCGCGTACCAATTCATGTGCAGAACGGTATGTACTGCCTGTTTCATACTAGTCTGGGCAAAATGTCATTCCATGGTGCCGTTCAGCATGTTCTTTTTGCAATTAACCATTCATTGACTTATATGTTAATTGTCATGTTACGTGTCCCGACATTAAAATTTAGAGTGAAGCCACCTTTTTTGGAGCACACTGACTTTTATAATCATTTCATTATATAGCCAGATTATTGGTCAATCTATAAAGTTATCCATTATCATTCAGTCAAGTCTATGTATATGATGTTGATTTTTGTTACCTTGCAGCAATGAGTATTTTGCTTTTCAGAAAAGGTAGCTCAAGGACATGTTTACCTCATTAAGTTTTACATTCGTTAATTTCTATGTGCTGTTTTTTGTATTTTCAATTAGTGTATTGTTGTCTGCAGTAATCTTGCCATATTACAGAGATGGAAGGAGAGGGGAAAGAAAGGAAAACTCAAATAGAGAAATTGTGTATCGCCGCCATATTGTTGACCAAATGCCAGTTGATGGGTGGAATGATGTTTGGAGTAAATTGCACCAGCAACTTGTAAACGTTGATGTTATAAATGTGGATTCTGTATCTGCTGAGGTCTATGGTACCATTGCAACTGCTGTTGTGTGGTCTATGCGTTTGGCTCTTTCAATTGCTATTTACCTATGGGTTGATAGTGTGATGAGACCAATTTACGCCAAGTTAATTCCATGTGACTTGGGTCCACCTATGAAGAAAGTAAGGAAGCCCCTTAAGAGTGATACGCTAGGATCTTTGGGCAAAAGTCGGTGAGTAAACAAATCATATGCTAATGAATTTTTTATCAATAGGCATTTGACAGCTTAATAAAAAGGGATTCACAGTTTTATTTTTTATTTTTCAGAAGAAAATTATTTCGTGTGTAAAATTAACATGAACATTATGTTTTGTTGATGATTGATGTCTTTGGATCATTTCACTTTTATTATTGCTCAAAAAAGATTTACGTAAAACTGTCTGGTCAGCTTTTTCCTTCATATAATGTTTAGATGCAGTAATTTTGGAATATAAGGAACTAAGTCAATGGGTATTTTGTGTCCACGAGGTCTTTGCTACGAGTGTCACAGATAATCAATATTTCTTGATTTAGTGTGCCATTTTGGGCCATCTGTCTCTTTCTAGGTATTCTAGCTGAAGTGAAAAATTCTATTTAGAGAAATATAGAATCTCTAATAGTTATTTATGTGCTTACTTCCATTTGCCCAGTGCAAAATTCATATCTGCAGAAGAGACTACAGGTGTCACATTTGATGATTTTGCGGGCCAGGAGTATATAAAGCTGGAATTGCAAGAAATTGTCCGAATCCTCAAAAATGATAAAGAATTTCAAGATAAGGGTATCTATTGTCCTAAAGGTGTGCTTCTTCATGGACCACCTGGAACAGGAAAAACACTGCTGGCTAAAGCTATTGCAGGTGAAGCAGGACTTCCCTTCTTTGCAGCAAATGGCACTGATTTTGTTGAGGTAAAACTTCATTTCTTTACTTTATGGTTTGCATATAAACAAAATGAAAATCTATGTCCTTGACAAATTGCCACCATTTTGCTACTCAAATGTTGTATTATGTGACACCTTTTTGTTCCCTTCTCTCTGCGTGGGTGTCTTACCACCTTGAAACTTTACTCCATTGTAATTGCTATAGTTCTTTCATCTTAATGGTGTGGTTGCAAGAGATGAAAAAAATTTTCTTTGGCTACTGAAGCAAACTAAATTTAGATTTTTTTTACTTCTTGTGAAATTAAATTGAAAATATTATATCATGTTGACATCTTGATCTTGCAGTGATTTTATGAAGCATGTTGGTGATCTCTTTTCCCCTTCTTCTACTATTTATTTTCTCGGCTAGGATTTATGATTTATTTTTTTATATCTTTTTCTTGTGCATGCTAATGGTAGATGCTCAAATCCATGTAACCTTTGTAATAAAAAAAGAAAAAAAATTGTTGTTGAGATCAGTTAACAGTATTTGTCATCTACTTTTGGTTTGCTTTTCTTTCAGATGTTAGAGATCTGCATCTCTCATGGAAAGTGGTAAATTAATGAATATTTTGTGAAGATACTGTTCAAATTTTGGGTCTTGGTAAATCACATTAACATGAGAAACTAGTTTCCTACTTCTTGTGCAGCTTGACCACTTAAACTCTTCGTAAATTGCTTCTGTTCATTATGTTTCTATTTGGCTGAACTTCCTCACATTAATTGATTATTTTTTAGTTGAAAATATATGATAATGGGAGAAAAATTACCATGCAGCTAGATTTGTTATCTATGTATTTTGAAGTTTATTTTTTTCTTGTACAAGATAAGATCTGCTTGGTTGTATATCATGGGACATGTGTATGTCATTTTGACATAAGATGTCAAAACAGATAAATTCTCAATATGTTCAATGTGTGATTGTCAATATTGACATGGTTTGTACTTTGTAGCATCTATCCTGTGCATGGTACAATGTGCATAACTTATGCACTCACATGTGTTATTTCATGTGTTAAATGATTTACATAAGCTGCATTCAAAGAAAGTTCCCATCCATTTTATAATGATTCTGCATATGCATTAAGTACTACAGATTACTGTTTGCTTGGTATATATGTTCCAAGTTAAGCTCAACAAGCATTCATTTATATCTTCTCTGGCAGATGTTTGTAGGTGTTGCCGCAGCCCGTGTAAAAGATCTATTTTCTAGTGCTAGATCATATGCTCCATCAATAATATTTATTGATGAGATCGACGCAATTGGCAGTAAACGTGGTGGGCCGGATATTGGTGGGGTGAGATCTGTTCAAAATTTGACTATTCTTGCCTGCATGTACTGACTGCATCATGGCTTGTCTTATTTTTTGTTAGAATGCTGGTACATGAGTATGGATATGTATTTATTCAAATTTTGCTCTATCTAACATGGTTTTTACACTGCAATAGTCATGGTTTAACTTGACATTTACTTTTTTTGGGTTGCAGTATTTTTTATTGGAAGAAATCTGTTTATAACAAATATTAAAATACCTATTGTGTTGCTGTACAAGTTTAGAAAGTAATTTTGTTTATTGTTTGCTTATCAATGATAATTTTATAAGAACTTGTGCTTTAGGAGAACTGATACAAACAATAGAAGTTGTTAATGTATTTAGGATAAGTTTAATCCAAATTAGAGCAGAATAAATAAATAATTTTGGCAATTTACTCTGTAGTGAGTAATGGTTACATAGGCATTCAGGAGGAAGCTTTGAAGACGTGCTTATGATAGATTTCCTTTATGCCTATGAGTAACTAATAGTTAAGGAATGCCATTTGTTGATTACAATTAGGAGAGAAGTCATTCATTTTGGCTTGAGCTTCTGTTTCTGTCAAACTCATAGAGGAAGGCTTATGTTTGTGTTGATATTCATAAATTTGAAGTTCATGTTAACCAATGCTATTGTGGCAACAGCTAATAAACTTGTTCATATTATGCTCAGAATAAAGAAATACTTTGCAGATTTTCCCATTCTTCTCTTTCTTCTTTTCACCACATAAATCCTGGCAACACAATAAGCCTCATAACTGACCTAAATTTGCCACCGCCCATGTATAAATGAGCTGTATCACTTTCCATAGCAGGGATTATTCGTTTGGAAGGATGCCCTACCTTATACTTGACAGTAAAACAAATAACCAGGTTCTTGAAGATAAGTAACAAGTAGTACCTAGTTTTGTATATACTAAAGAAGATTAATGTAAAATTCAGATGATTATACTAAAGAAGGTTAATGTGAAGTTCAGATAATTTTGTCTAACTTGTCATGAAGAAACAGTGTTATAAAAAACCCGAGTCCCATAAACAAGATGGAATGAACAAGTTCCTCCCATCAGGTATCGTAGAAGAATCACCAGTTCAGTAGCTTTTAGCGGTGCCATCACTAATACGTAATGATAATGCTCTCGTTGTATTTTTTCCATATTTCTTTTAATATTTGAAAGTTCCTTACATGGTTTAGGTATATCCATGTGTAATATGTTATACCATGGTTGTTTGTTTTCTTCCTTTTTTTTTCGTAGTTTCTGCTTCAATAACTTCTTTTCGAGAGAAAGACAGTGAGATCCACTCACTTTTCCATGACTTCTTGTTTACGACAATTAGTAACACAAGAACAAGCTTCTTACAGGGTGGTGCTGAGAGGGAGCAGGGTTTGCTTCAGATTTTGACTGAGATGGATGGATTTAAGGAATCGACATCACAGGTTTGTTAACTTTTATAAATCTTGCCCTTAGCAGACATTGCTATAATCAACTGCTGCAGATTTTAGTTATAGGTGCAACCAATCGCTTGGATATCTTGGATCCAGCCCTTCTGAGAAAGGGTCGCTTTGACAAGATTATAAGGGTTGGCTTGCCTACTAAAGACGGACGACTGGCCATATTGCAGGTACCAGAATGGTTCTATTTCACTTTTTGGAATTTGGTTTGTTTAGAACTATGTCTGGGGGATTGTTGGTGGATAACCTTTGTATTTATGCTACAACAGGTGCATGCTAGAAATAAATATTTCAGATCAGAAATGGAAAAAAATGTTCTCCTACAGGAAGTTGCTGAACTTACAGAAGATTTTACTGGAGCAGAGTTGCAAAATATACTGTAATTACTTTCTAGAGCTTTGTAAATTTATATGTCCACCTGTCTGGGGACACCTGACAAACTTCTGTTGATGGACAGGAATGAAGCTGGAATTTTAACTGCAAGAAAAGATCAAGACTACATTGGAAGAGAAGAGCTATTGGAGGCTTTAGAGAGGGTTGGTTGTCCCATCTGTCAGAGTACTTAGAAAACAATGATTGTGGCTTGTGGGATTAGTTGAGTCAATCCAGCACCGTCATACACGGTAACATCCTAACTTGTGTAAATTTCTCAGCAAAAAGGTACCTTTCAGACGGGTCAAGAAGACAGTGAGGAAATGCCGGAGGAATTAAAGCTTCGGTTAGCATATAGAGAAGCAGCTGTTGCTGTTCTTGCATGTTTTTATCCAGATTCTCACTGTCCATTTGTAGAGGTTTGTAGAAAGAAAGGTTCAAGCTGCTTACTACTTTATCTTAAAAAACAAATGCCATTTTTAGTTGTTTCCTGTCTTAACATACCAGCACAAAGCACAATGACAGGTGGTTGGAGAGGCTGCTGCAGCACCAACCAGTGGGTCCAGTGCTACCTCCTTGCCTCTCCAATCGCCTGCCATATGCCTACGTGGGCATAGGATTGGTGGTTTTCTTATTTTGTGGTGTGGATGCCACTTGTGATTCATATAAACAAAATTCTACTTTTGCAGACTGATATCCGTTCCATTCGTAGTAAGCCAAATATGCGTTACACTAAGGTTTCAGGAAAACCTTTCTTGAGGAAATCTGATTATGTAAACTCTATTGTGCGAGCTTGTGCACGTAAGTACCATTTTGTATTTTTTACTACTTGTTTAAGCAAGTTATCTTTAATTTATTATCTTTATTTTATTACGCTTCACATCAAGGTTCTCCTTACCGGTCCGAATCGGTGTCTTGGCTGATGGTACAGTACGTACCACTTTGTACCAATGTACCATGTGTCGGTACGGTGGGGTGTACCAATGACATGAAAAATAGTCGAAAATAGCTCTAAAATTTTTTGAGAAATAGGAAAAAGTTAGATTAGAGTTTTTAAGTTTGAAATAAATATAAATTTAGTATAATTTTATCAAAAATAATCTAAATTAGGAAATAATAGTGGTACATATCTTTTTCGAACCTTGAGGAGTAGCTTTGTGGTACGTTCTGGACTATCCTTTCGTTAATATTGAATTATCTATAAAGAAATAATTTGAATTGTTAGATTATTTGTTAAACAATTTAAATTTTAAGATTCAAATAAATTAAGTAATTGATTGTTGGATATATCTAGTTCTACCATCAAAAAGAACGATAGGACTCCATGGGCGGTGGATCGGGGTTCTCGATCTTATGTATTTGTATATTAATTTGATATGTTTGTCAGATCTAATACTAATATTAATCCCACAACATAGTATAATGATACACTGTATGCTATTGGTGCATTAATGTGATGATGGTTGTAGTCTAATTGTCGTGAACCGCATGTGCCAGAGGTGACTCCTGAGAAAAGTATGATTATGGCATGTATTGGTGCAAAACATGGAGGTTGTCGAAACTTTTACTTTCACCACTGATTTGTTGTTTCATATCATAATATTGATCACCGTACTGCTACTCGGAGAAGAATGATCAATTATCACCATACTGTTGCTCGGAGAAGAATGACCAACTAGCACGTCAAGCTCTATGATATAAATTTTGGGTGGCATGCATAAAATACTACTCGGTCCATGCATCACCCTCAAGCTGTGTAGACGGGACCATTGATTTCTCGACGTCATTTTCATCGTCATTTGAGGCATTACTGTCCATATCACTACCATGTCTTTGGACTGAGCGGGTTGCTGAATTCAATTGAGAAAGCGTCTACAGACCTTCGATCAGAGAGTTCTTCCTCTCATTTAGATGTTAATCCTCCCTAACTAGCTTAATCCAATCCACACATCATAGCTTTGTGAAGTTTTAAGAGAGTACAAATGTGAGAATGAGCGAAAGAAGTGAGTGACAAAGAAGTTGAGAGAGTATAAGAGTTTGAGAGAGTGAAAGAAGGTGAAAGAGGGGGGAGGAAAGGGTTTAAAAACCCTTTCAAATGGATTTTACCGTTAGAAAGGGGCCAAGTCTGAGTTGTCTGTCGATAATAGTCGGATTGCGATACAGAGCCTCTTAGTATATACCACCCGGCATAGGGTGGTCCATGTATCGGTCCCTTGTCGGACTGATATGTGCTGCCCATAATAGGCGATATACCATGGTATGGTGAACCATGCTTCACATGATAAACATTGAATGTTGTTAAAGATACCACAAGAAAATGCTAATAGCAATAATACTGGAAGGAGTTAATCACATTTTGATAAAAGTTATTCCACCTTTTCTTTGGAAGTTTTTGGTAAGGTTATCGTGGATAGTGCTGTTCTTGATCTGTTGACCGCATTTTTTCATGCTAGTCAAGGCCTAAGCTATTCAATTGCAGAAATGTAAAATTTGCGATCTCTAGATATTGGAAAGGACATGTTTTAGATTTTACTATTTATGGTCTAATAGGGTGAGCTGGTAAGGAATGACATGGAATTGATAGATGAAGCTTCTGAATTTTGTTGAGTATCAGGATTGAGGTTTCTCCACCCATCCCTCTCTCTCTCTCATGTTTTTTGCGTGCTGCCATGCTTTAAATGATATTGAAGTCCAAATGAAGATGGATGATACATGTAGTTACCTTTGCTAAGCTGCATTAAGGGCTATCTTTTGCAGCGTAGATTTAGATTCGTAGGTAAGATGATTTGGGATCGTCTTTGTCATTATTGTTCTGGCGGATACTTGTTAATATTCTAGGTCACTCTGTTAGGACTCTAGCTTGGAGAGTCCTAATTGAGAGGGACATTCATGTAAAAATGTTAGGACTCTAGCTAGGAGAGTCCTAATTTAGAGGGACATTTTG